GTTCAGTGCCATTCAACTAATGTATATGTCAATGGCCATAAGAATAATTGTTGGTAATTTCCCCTGGTTTTTTTTCCCTTTATCCTTGAACCTTTTCTTGGTCTTCATTATCTCTGTTATTTCACATTTCCTTCATTTCCTTCCTTTCTATTTTATCCCTTACGTCTATCTTAAAGTAGAATATGTACATGGTTTCTGATATAACTCAAGAAGAAATTCATTCTTGTGGCAGAATATTCTTATTTGAAGATGATGTCATATAAGGCTAGAAACTCTGTAGTGTTTGAGATATGATTAGAGGGCTTGCTATTAGCTACCATTCAGGTTTCAAAAGTTTGATTCTTACAAACAAGAGTTTTGTTGTTCAGAGAAGTTTCTTATAATATATTGAAATATAGGCCAGAGATTTACCTCAGAAGCATATCTTTAAAGTAGAATTATTTCCTTTAACAATTATTTACAAACAAAACTTATTTTTATGTCAGATATGTTTGCAGGAATTCTCACAATCTGAACATTACCTTCACACTTTAAAACTTTGTCTCTATCTGTAGAGCAAAAACCATTACTAGTTGAAGTAATGTTTAGGTAATTCAATATCGGTCCAAATCCTATAAAACCTTAATTTACCAAAATAGTTATGAAGATTTCCACTTTTTCTTTAAAAAGAGAAAGAATACAAGACAGTATCTGATATCAACAATGTAGTCAAATCACTTTACAGGATATCATCTAAGTTTGTTACCTAAGGGTGGGCACACACATTACCAAGTCCAGCTAGACTAACAAAGCATAAAAGCCAGTGTCTATTTAAAATATTTTTGTTATCATCCTTGCGTGTATCCTTTACAATTAAATAGTATGATCCACTTACAAATATATGTTTATGATTCTTTTATCATTCTTTTTGAAGTAAATAGGATTTCTCAGCTACAGAAAAGAAAAATAATCAGAACACTGATTTATAGGTATTTTTGTAATTAAAGTATATTTTGTACTCAAGTGAGATTAAACCTGTAGCATGGAAGAAAGAAAAAATAATCAGCTCTAGAAGTTACTTTTGTAGTTGTATTTAAACTTCTTGTGATACTATTCTCCTTACTTACCTTGTTTAGCCCCCCCCCCATAGATCATGATTAAGCATTTCCTAAGCGTTGGGACACATCCTCATATACATGTTTATTCCTGTTAGCATGAATAATGTGTATTCATTTATCAGGTATTTTTAAAATGTCTGTTATGTATCAAGAACCGGGGCATGGAGGACATTAGGGCTATACCCTGCTATCAGGGCATTTATAACTTTTGAGGGAAAAGTACGAAGAGATACAGAATACTAAAAATATTCCCATATGGAATAATGTTTGGCATAGTTGGCCCAGCCTTAGAGAGAAGGTGATTTTTCAATAGCAGCCTAAGGAGAAAGGATTTGCCACGTTACAGTGATGAGGAAGTATGTGTCAGACCAAACATAGGATGAGCATGTAATAAGTCCCAGGGTCTCACAACATGGTTACATATGCAAAGAGCCCTCAACAACTCCTCTCCCGGAGGATATAAGACATGCAGCACTGGGAGAGGCACAAGGATAAATTGTGTCAGTTTATGCAAAGGGAAAGGTTCAAGAGAGAGGGGGAATTGTAAATCATGATAAGGTCAAGTAAAAACAAGGGCTAAACATAATCTTTGGATTTGACTTTGGTGACAGCATTGATGACTTGCTGAGCAGTAAATTAATGAGTATGGAAGTCAAGACTGATACGGATTTAGAAGTGAGAGGGAGAGGAAGAAGCAGAAAAACAGCATGTATAGATGAGTCTGTAGACATTTGTTTGGGAAGGGCGGGTAGAAACCCTCAGGGAGAGGAGAATGCCAGGACAGGGTCCCCTTCCTGCCGTACTATCCCTCCATTTGGAAGTTACATTTGAAGGCCAAGAGAAAGAAAGGGGATGCATGCCCAGAGGTGGGAGAAAAGAAAGGCAGTCTTCAGGAGTAAGTGAAGGCCGAAGTTTGTGGACGCTTAGCTGTGGACAGGAGGAGGGAGAACTGGAGACTTAGAAGAAAGATACAGAAAGATAAAGACAGATGGGTAGGAAGGTGAGGAAGAATTGATGCTGAAGGACTGCGAAACAGTGACAAGTACAATCATACACTGTTGGTGGTGAAGAGCATGGAGAAGCAGGGACTTGAGAGTGGTGATGTTTAATTAATTTATTTTTTTGAGTTGGAGTCTCACTCTGTCACCCAGGCTGGAGAACAGTGGCATGCTCATGGCCACTGAAGCCTCAACCTGCTGGTCTCTGGCGATATTCCACCTTAGCCTTCCAAATAGCTGGAACCACAGGTTTGCGCCATCACGCCTGGCTAATTTTTCTTCATTTATTGTAGAGATGAGGTCTCACCAAGTTACCCAGGCTGATCTCCAGCCCGTGGGCTCAGGCAGTCCTCTCACCTCGGCCTCCCAAAGTTCTGGGATTGTAGGCATGAACCACTGTGCCCGGCCTAGTGGTGACATTTTAGAAAAGTTGCAGTATGGCGTGAGGAAGGGAGCTTTCTCCATGAACAAGGGGAGGCCCACGTGCCCCCATAGCATAGCAATTTGTAGAGGTTATGATTTGTGTGTGTATGTTTGAATGTCTTCATGTGTTGTATTCATATATGTGTTTGTGTGCGTTCATTTATTTTTTTGCCCTAGGTAATCCAAGTCCTGATGAAGTAATTGATAATTTATCATTGTTTATAGAACTCCATCTATTTTCTATCGTGCTAAGCACTGAGGTTACTGAGATGAATAATATTGTTTCAATCCTTGAAAATATACAGTTTAGTGGGCCAGACATGTAAGGAAATACAAACTACACCAGGCATACGTGCAGAGGTAATTCAGAGAAGGCAGTAGTAACATATAGAAGAGTAGAGTTGGAGGAAATGATGTCTTGGAAGTTTTTTTGAGGAAGCGACATCTTAGTTCACTTTAAAAGAAGTGAATGCCCGAGCTTTGGGAGGCTGAGGTGAGTGAATTGCCTGAGCCCACGGGTTTGAGACCCGCCTGGGCAACTTGGCGAGACCTCGTCTCTACAATAAATAAAAAATTAGCCAGGTGTGGTAGCGCGCACCTGTAGTTCCAGCTACTTGGAAGGCTGAGCGAAAGGATCACCAGAGCCAAGCAGGTCGAGGCTGCAGTGGCCGGGAGCGGCCACTGCATTCCAGTCTGGGCGACAGAGTGAGACTTCAACTCAAAAAAATTGTAAATAAATAATAAGCAAACAAATAAATAAATAAATAAATAAAAGAAGTGAATAGTTGCAGATGTGGCACTTTAAGATTCTGGAGAAAAGTTCTAAAGAGATTGTTGACCATGCCTGTGATCTGTTCTCAAGGAACAAAGTCATTCAGAAATTCTGAATGCAGAGCAAAGATTCAGGAAGATAGATGCAGTTTACAGTTTGTGACTGCACCTGCCTTTTTTTTTTTTTTTTTTAAGACATTAGTACCTGAAAACTTATTTGAAAGCAGAAATATTTCTTGAACACTGGATGAGCTTTTTTAAAAATAATCTCTATCAAAAGTTGTAGCCTTAGTATTTTCAAAATAGTTTTGAAAAGTAGTTGTTTTTCTTAAATTAGTGTTGAAATGAGAGCATTAATCTTAAATAAAAATTTAATTCTACTAGATGTTTCTGTTGTTTAGCATATGTTCATAGTCTATATCCTAATTTCCAAAATTACAATACAAATACACCATATGCCAATAGATTACTTTTTGGCTCATGAAGAAGTACATATAATCAAACACTATCAGACTGTGTTGTTGCCTATTTGAAATGTGAAAATTTTAATTTTTAAAACCTTATTTTCTTCATTGACACTATTCAAAAGAAACAAAAATGTGTATTTTTGCTTCTGTAACTGGTAGAAATTTTGTGAAAGTTCGTCATCTGATTGAAAGAGAAAGTAAGTTGTTACAAGCAAGCATACCCTGCTCTCAGGCACAGTCCTATAGGGCTGAGTTAACAGATCCTTAGCTAGTAGGAGACCTCTCACCCCCACCCCCACCCTCCTTTGGAACTGTACTTTTGAAGTGCACCACGCTGCCCAAATCGAATTGCTCACTTTTAATATTTAATGTTTCTGCGATGGAATCACTTTCTCCCTGGAGGTTGACTTCAGATTTACCAGACACACTGACAACACTGCGCTCCTTATTTTCCCCACATGACCTCAGCTTCTGCCTTAAAAATGTTGGAATAAAGGATGCTTTTGTTCATATCTCGCCTGCCTGTGATATATTGACAAAGTGTCTGCTGGCTCAATGGAATAGTTTTACAGTATGAGTGCTGCTTTCAGCAGAGGGGCAGGACTTGGGCTTGAGAAGGAAGTGAATTGGATAGGTCAGGAGAATGTACCATTTGTAAACACCCCTTTCCTTTTTTATTCACGTGTCAGGACAGCAGGAGCAGGCTGTTCAGTGCCTGTCCCTGCGCAGAGCTGGAGGGAAGGCAGCTTGCAAGTCAGCTGCGATTTTTAAACCTTGCTTTTGATTGCCCGGGAATGATCTTCAAGTGCTTGGACCGGTCTTAGAAGCTGTTTTGAAACTAACATGGTTTAGTCCACTAACTGCATGTTGGGTAAATTCAAAACCCACATGCTCGTCCTCTTGCAGTGGAATAAGTCACATCTGATGGACATTTTCTGTGCTTATAGCATAGTAATGAACGTCTGACAGGCGCGACCTTTCATAAGACAACCCACACTATTGGCTTTCTGCCCAGAATATTGCTGCAACACTATCTGTGATTGGTTATCTCTCTATCATGCATTGCTTCACAAGGGGAAACGGCCCCTTTTTTTAATAAATCTACGATGGCTGGCTGCAATATGCCTCACTGTAAGTATTTTGTGTGTGTGTGTGTATGTGTGTGTGTGTGTGTGTGTGTGTGTGTGTGTGTGTGTGTGTGTGTGT